CACTAAAACCCATAAATTCCCACAAAACCCCATTAAACCTCATAAAACCCCATAAATCCCCACAGAGACCCCATAAAACCTTGTAGAACCCCACAGAACCACACAGAACCCCATAAAACCCCATTGAAGCTCACAGAGCCCCATAAAACCCCATAGAACCTCCTAAACCGCCATTAAACACCACGGAGAACCCATAAAACCCCATTAAACCCCATAAAGCCCCACAGAACCCCACAGAGACCCCATAAAACCACACTGAAGTTCACAGAACCCCACAAAACCCCATAAAACCCCACAGAACCTCATAGAACCCCACAAACTGTCATTAAACCCCACAGAAAACCATAAAACCTCATAAACCCCCATAAACCCCACAGGACCCCATAAAACCCCCCTAAAAGCCATAAAATCCCACAAAACCCCATTAAACACCACAGAACCCCATAAAACCTCATAAAACCCCATAAACCTCCACAGAACCCCATAAAGCCTCACAGAAGCCCACAGAGACCCCATAAAATCCCATAAAATCCCACAAAACGCCACTGAAGCTCACAGAGCCCCATAAAACCTCATAAAAACCCCTAAAACCCCACAAAACCCCACAGGACCCCTTAAAACCCCATAAACCCCCATAAAGCCCCCATAAAACCGAATAAAAAGCCCACAAAACCCCATAAAAACCCATAAATCTCCTCAGAATCCCATAAACCCACACAGAACCCCACAAAACCCCATAAAACCCCACAGAGACCCCATAAAACGTCGTAGAACCCCTCAGAGACCCCATAAAACCCCACAGAACCCCTTAACATCCCATAAAACCCTATAAACCGCCATAAAACCCCATGGAACTCCATAAACCCCCATAAACCCCCATAAGACCCAACAGAGACCCCATAAAAACACATAAAACCCCATAAAGCCCCACAGAACCCCACAAAACCCCATTGAAGCTCACAGAGACCCCATAAAACCTCATAAAACCTTGTAGAACCCCATAAAACCCCACAGAACCCCATAAACCCCCACAGAGACCCCACAGAGACCCCCTAAAACCCATAAATTCCCACAAAACCCCATTAAACCTCATAAAACCCCATAAATCCCCATAAAACCCCATTAAACCTCATAAAACCCCATAAATCCCCATAAAACCCCATTGAAGCTCACAGAGCCCCATAAAACCCCATAAAACCCCACAGAGCCCCATAAAAACCCCACAGAGCCCCATAAAACCCCATAGAACCTCCTAAACCGCCATTAAAAGCCACGGAGACC